GGCTATAGTAGGCTTGTTCTTGCAAGGACTAAACAGATATATTCATAATAATTGAACTTGGAACTTGGCATTCTTCTTAAACCATAGCATAGCCTAGGAATAGTCCTATACAAGAGCTGTTAGCAGGAGCAAACTATGCTATTTTTTCAATGTAAGTTTCATGTTATATGGGGATTTTTTTGTTACAATTATCATGTAGTCTAGGCATATCTTAAATCTCAAGTAATTTCCTCTCTGTAAATTTAGTAAACCTTTGAACAATCTTCGTAATCTAACCAAGGAAGGGCTTGTGATGATGAACCATTATCAACAGCTGAAGCAAAGGTTGATAGACCAGCTTTCTCATTATTTTAAGGTTTAGTGTTGGTTTTTGGTTTCCATTAAAACCCAAGTTGAAACACTATCGATGTAATAAAGAAACTAAATTGACTACTAATTTCCCTGTCAATCACTTGCAAGCATTCAATAGCTTCTCTTGTCACCGGTAACGTTTAAACGTCTGCATCTAGTGATTTTATTTTATCTGACAGTAATCATAGAGTAGTAAATTAAGGAAATGAGAGCCAAAAATGAGGATAACACTCATTTAATGGCCTCCATGTCCACACAACGTTGTAATAGGGAATGAAACGGCTGCAACCAGCTGTATGAAGCCAAGAAAGTAGGCCTAATTTTTTTGAAAATCTCAGTTTGAAAGAGGTTGTTTCACGTAAGGTTGAGGTTATGATAAAAATCACTATCTCAAACAATGTTAATGTAGCGAGAAAAGTAGCTAAAATTCCGCTACAACTACTTTAAAAATGTAGCTAGCTACAGCTAAAGCTACAAAATCTTAAAAGTAGCGTAGCTACAGCTAACGCTACAAAAAAAGTAGCGCGCTACTGTAGCGTCGCTACTTGTAGCGCGCTACTTCCCAACACTGATGGATTGCAAATACCTTAATCTATTGGTCATAAACAGATCCCACACTCCGAACAACTCGCCTTTACTACTTCCTTCACCACTTCCTATGTCACGGACCTGTTTCCCTCCCTTTCCATAGAATTTTAGGATTGCAGATACCTTAATATAATCGTCATAAACAGTTCCCACACTCCGGACAGGTCGCCTTTACTACTTCCTTCACCACTTCCTACGTCACGGACCTGTTTCCCTCCCTTTCCATAGGATTTTGGGATTGCAGATACCTTAATCTAATCGTCTTAAACAGTTCCCAAACTCTGAAAAGCTCGCCTTTACTACTTCCTTCACCATTTCCTACGTCGCGGACCTGTTTCCCTCCCTTTCCATAGCATTTTAGGATTGCAGATACCTTAATCTAATCGACATAAACAGTTCCCACACTCCGGACAACTCGCATTTACTACTTCGTTCACCACTTCCTACGTTGCGGACCTGTTTTCCCCCCTTCCCTTAGCATTTTAGGATTGCAGATACCTTAGTAATCGTCACAAAAAGTTCCCACAGTCCGGACTGCTTGCCTTTACTACTTCCTTCACTACTTCCTACGTTACGGACCTGTTTCCCTCCCTTCCCATGGCATCATAGGATTGCAAATACCTTAATCTAATGGTAATAAACAGATCCCATACCCCGAACAGCTCACATTTACTACTTCCTACGTCGCGGACCTGTTTCCTTCCCTTCCAATAGCATTTTAGGATTGCAGATAAATAATCTAATCGTCATAGACAGTTCCCACATTCCGGACAGCTCGCCAGCTCGCCTTGACTACTTCCTTTACCACTTCCTACGTCGCGGACCTGTTTTCCTCCCTTCCCATAGAATTTTAGGAATGCAGATACCTAAATCTAATAGTCATCAACAGTTTCCACACTCCATACTGCTCACCTTTACTACTTCCTTCACCACTTCCTACGTCACGGACCTCAAGCTAGTGTCGTCATTTGATTATATTTATGATCCATACCGTTTCTGTTCTAATATCTGTGGAATAATGCTATCATCTATTTCTTTATCTACTGCATTCAAAATTCAACAGCTGATCATATGTCTTTGTTTATGTGTCAAATACTGCTTCCTTAAGGATTACATTGAAACTTTGAGACCTAGTGGAGCGGATTCCTGAGAGATTTTTTTAACGCCATGTAGATGTTGGCACTCACCGATATGGTCTTTATCACCATGCAAAATTGAAAACGATTGATTCAGCCGTCTAGGAGGAGTTTGCGATTGAATTCTTGGATTAACCCCCATCTTTTAGACCAAGCATCTTTTAAATAATTATTTAAGGCCCGCCAATCCCACCCATTCAATATCTCTATATATATTGTTCCTGTGTCAAAATTGGACAGCCAAAATAAAATTTCCTTAATCTAATGGTCACAAACAGATTCCACACCCTGAACAGCTCGCCTTTACTACTTCCTTCACCACTTCCTACGTCGCGGACCTGTTTCCTTCCCTTCCAATAGCATTTTAGGATTACAGATACCTTAATCTAGTCATCATAAACAGTTCCCACACTCCGGACAGCTCGCCTTGACTACTTCCTTCACCACTTCCTACGTCACGGACCTGTTTTCCTCCCTTCCCATAGCATTTTAGGATTGCAGGTACCTTAATCTAATGGTCACAAACAGTTCCCACAGTCTGGACTGCTTGCCTTTACTAGGTACTTCCTTCAGCACATCCTACGTCACGGACCTGTTTCCCTCCCTACCCATAGCATCATAGGATTGCAAATACCTTAATCTAATGGTCACAAACAGATTCCACACTCTGAACAGCTCGCCTTTACTACTTCCTTCACCACTTCCTACGTCGCGGACCTGTTTCCTTTTCTTCCAATAGCATTTTATGATTACAGATACCTTCATCTAACCGTCATAAACAGTTTCCACACTCCAGACTGCTCGCCTTTACTACTTCGTTCACCACTTCATGCGTCACAGACCTCAAGCTAGTGTCGTCATTTGATTATATTTTGGATCCATACCGTTATGCTATCAGCTATTTATTTATCTACTGCATTCAAAAGTCAACAGCTGATCATATGTCTTTGTTTATGTATCAAATACTGCTTCCATAAGGATTACATTGAAACTTTGAGACCCAGTGGGGCGGATTCCTGAGATACTTTTTTAACGCTATATAGATCTCACTCACCGATATGGTCTTTATCACCATGCAAAATTTGAAAACGATTGATTCAGCCGTCTAGGAGGAGTTTGCGTATTACGAAATGCATAAGAGTCGATGTATAAGAGCTTCGCTCAATTAAAATCATCACAATGGGCCATTATTGAATGCAGTTTTTCACAGGACTTGGAACATTTCAAGGTTGGCACTCACCGATATGGTCTTTATCACCATGCAAAATTTGAAAACGATTGATTCAGCCGTCTAGGAGGAGTTTGCGTATTACGAAATGCATAAGAGTCGATGTATAAGAGCTTCGCTCAATTAAAATCATCACAATGGGCCATTATTGAATGCAGTTTTTCACAGAACTTGGAACATTTCAAGGCCAATATGTGGAGATTTAACTTGGTGGAAGAGAAAGTATGCAGCTGGGCAAAAGAAAAGAGACCACGAGTCACGTATTGAAGAAATTGTTATTTCAGAAGGCAAATAGGAGAGAACAGGAAGAAGTCTTGGATAGAAATTGTCTAGAGACGAGGAAATAAAAGACAAGGAAACAATTGAGACGTTTAGTAAAGTAGCTAGGGAAATAGGAAGAACCAAGGATACATATAGGCTTTTAAATTGAATAAATAAACTAACAAAAACACAGAAAGAAAAGGAATGAAAACCTCCCCATGAAGGGGAGAGGAAAAGTTAGAGCAAATCCCCATGATCCCTATCGCTCAGGATAGTAGCGAGAAGGGAGCCATTCTGTTAGGGTTTTGGACACTTATTGTGTCTGGAGAAGGATTGAAAGTGGCCAAAGCCTAAGAAGAAAGAAGATTTTTCACTGGAAATCGGCCTGGCAAAGAAGTCCCAGACTTATGCTAGGGATGGTGGTGGGAACGAGGGGCTTTGGTTTATCATTTAGGTAATCATCGATTAATAAAAAGAGAATCTTTTACTGACTTAAAAATAACTGCAAAAACTTGCTGTAAACTGCAAACTCAATTAGGACATTTACCATCTCCACCTTTAACAACAAAACAAAGAAACCAGAAAACGCCAAATAAAAAGATCAATACAAATCCTTCTTCTCCTGTCTAGATTGTGCACGATTACTGTGTCTAAGGAATAAGTCGGCCTTATAGTTACTAACAAGACTACAGGATCGCGCCACTCATCCTACACTCATCTCCATTCATACTTGGCTTAAAATACCTACTTTGTCATGGTCGCCATTTCATTGAAAAGTATTAAAAAGTAAAAGTATTAAAGTACGTGTGCCAGGTTCGCTAGTATAACATTAAGAGCTGTATACTTCCAGGTCAAGTTAGACCTCTGCCAAATACACACTAATCATGTTACGGTTTGTTTTTAGTACACTTGATTTAAACATTAATTATCTCAATATAAAATAGGTTACGTACCTTTACGTCGTCAATCCTAGGTTAGTCTTTTTAGCAGCGACTAGTTTCGAAACTAACGTTTCATTTTCAAGCCTTGTCAAACATAAAATTACTTGAACATAATGTCGTCGTCAAAGTACACAAATATAACATTTAACACGCACAAATACATTAAGATACAGAAAGACGCGCGGCCGGCCATTACACGCACGACGGACACGACTCAACTACCCTCGTCCGTCGTGCGTGTAATGGCCGGCCGCGCGTCTTTCTGTATCTTAATGTATTTGTGCGTGTTAAATGTTATATTTGTGTACTTTGACGACGACATTATGTTCAAGTAATTTTATGTTTGACAAGGCTTGAAAATGAAACGTTAGTTTCGAAACTAGTCGCTGCTAAAAAGACTAACCTAGGATTGACGACGTAAAGGTACGTAACCTATTTTATATTGTCTTAAATCAATCCTGGAGGCAATGCTGAATAAATTAATTATCTTGTTACCATTGTCGATATCAGTCCACTTGTCACTAGGTTTGATAATGAGAAGGTCAGGATCCAGGAAGGCATGGCCATAGACAACATGTGTACATAGTTGAGGATCTATGTCACTTGGTGTAAACTGGCCAATCCCCGCTCTGGCAAACAAATTGAATTATTAGTTGTTCATAAAACTTAGATTGTGGGAATGTTAAAACTTCATCGAAATCTCAATTAATGTGAATATCATAATAATTTATTAAGATAAAATTGTATAACCATTAGGCCTAATTTATAAATTTGTAAACTCTAATTTATAAATGTCTAAGAAGGATTTTTGTCTGACCTATACTGAGCGGAGCTGAAATAGTAGCAGACAACCTTGTAGGTGGTATTAGTTTGCAGCGAAGACTTTGCTGTTTCTGTTATTGTTGTCTTTAGGTCATCAGGCTTTGCTGCTCTCTGATCCCTATAAAAAGAGTTTAAGAATAATAAGACTAAAAACTATTGTGAACCAGCTTTTACAGCATTCATATCCAATTTCAACATAGTACATGTTCCATATACAGGTATGTGTACATGTTGCAGGTAGCAAGTTTATAAAAAGAGTATGTTCGAGTTTTATTGTGTTATTATGGGCAATGTATCAGTGGCATGTTTAAGTAAATGCAATTGAAGTTACTCTCCTATAACGGTATAAGTAACAAAACTAATATAGCCTACTGAAAGAATAATAAAATAAATGGAATCAGCAATCTGACACATATACTTTCTCCCATTAGCTTGTCCACCGCCTAATAAGTATAATAAGTATAGTACCATGGGTGAGTGGTGGGGGTACTATTATGATATTTTATAGGGAAAATCACAAAAGTTGAAATCACTTTTGAACCGTAATTTTTACAGCAATGGGGGGGGGGGGGGTTGGACTATTGTGTTTATAATTAAGGACCATGTCATACTAATTTAAATCAAACCTGCTTTTTAAGAAAATCGGATTTGATGTTTTTTATGAGAATCCTGTTAAAAAAAACACTATCTGTGTTTTATACACTAAAAAATAAAACTTAGGCAGTGACTATATTTTGATACGTGACTTACTTCTATGAAAACAGAAAAATAAAAGTATCCCTTTCGTTAGCAAAGTAGCAAGTAGGTATAATATGTAAGTCATCCATTGAAAGTTTGACCCACCTATCGTTTGTAAGCTTTTTACTTGGGCATTGCTGTTGCTTATCAGAGGTATCTAACTAAATTGATGATCTCATATAAAAATCAAGGTCTTAGTAACAAACACAAACCATCGCACTTGTCACTGGCTGCCGTGTTGTCATTGGTTTAAAAGTATCTTAATATATTTATTGCTATGTGATGTCAATATACCTCTTGTGAAAATTCAGCACATTATCCGTAAGCGACTGATGTTCTTCTGGGCATATAAATGTATGCACAGCTTTTTGATCAAGACCTTGAAATTCACTCAGCACCAGAGATATGCAGTGTGTCAGTAGAAAGATGGATGTCCTCATCTGCATCTCCACTTGTGAGAAGAGAGATTAGTACTGTCACCTGGAGATTTATCAGTAGATATATAGAGAAATAGCATTAACTTTTGTATAGTGAAGTAAACATCCCATCTAAAGGTTATATTAGTGGCGGGAATCACCAAATGAAAATAACCGAATCAATTGGTTATTTTGATGCTAAATAGACTAATTCAGTTATTTAACACTTTAACCGAAACATGGTTGACACTTGCGTAAATAGAAACATCTGGTCTCAGAGACCGGACGATTATTCATCAACAAATTTAATGTAAAATCGGCTATTAGATTTATTATTTTTTTAAGTATATGCGGGCTTAAGGAAAGTAAAACATAGATTTTAGTACAAATATATATAGGCCTATCTACTAGTGGCTTGTAGGGACATAAGTCCCTAAAAAGCCCAATAATATAAAACAAATTATTCTAATATTTATAAACAAACTAAGAAATACATCTAAGTGTCAGAATAGATGTCCCTGTACGCCATATCTTTTGTGTAAAAAACAGATTGTTGTTTGTCTTTGTTTGCCTTTGTTGATGTTATTTTCAACAAATCATTCAAATCACTTAACAGGTTTAACTCTGCTAAAGGCAGGAAACATATAATTGTTTGTGAATAAATACTGGTTTATTAAGGTAGCTTTGGTCTTGTGGTTAATGGTGATAAAAAAAGACTTCCCTGATTGGAATTTTGTAAATTGTCTTAGTCAAATATGAAAAGGCAAATAAAGGTGTGTTGAGGTAAGCTTAGTTCTTGACCAAACCCGCTAAATTAACACCCAGTTAATATTTCTAAGTTTATACTCCTTGTTGAGGTTTAACAACATTAGTGTAAAGTAAAGGCATCCTATTGACTAAACTTAACCCTAGATTTTTCTGATCAACATAAAAAAAAACTACAATTAGTGTAAGTTTATGTGGTGGTATTCCTCTTAAAGGTGCGATTGACGTTACATATTCTATCAAATTAGGCCTAATCATCGGCTGATTCTTAACTTTTTTGTGAGCAACAGACAGTACCTGTTTAAAATCTCCATAAAATATTGTTTTCCCTCCCATTGGAACTTGTCATAGTACTTACTTAATTAACAAATATATATTTCCTCTGTATGAACCTATGTAAGGTACCAAATTTTAAGGGGGGTAAAAACGTACTACGAATAAATGAACACCAGAACTTACCCGATTTTTAACCACAATAGCCTACTCCTCAGAGGCCTATGTGTTGGCCATAGCTTGGGCTATGGGCCAAAGAACGTAGGCCTATTTTTATTCACAGTGAAGTACACAAACACATCCACAACTACATATTCGTTCATAATAGCACTTCGTTTCACATAATAAAGTTAAACCGGCCGATTTTACGAATATTTAACGCCGATTACAACATCACTTAACCTCGAAATGGTGTTTGTTGACCAACAACAGACGACAACTAGACAGTGTTTAGTGTTTCCACACGAACGACCAAAAAAATAATCCCGCTTACTAGGTCGAGAAATCCCGTTTTATCCCGCTTTTAAATTGGTGAAAAATCCCGTTTTATCCCGCATTTTTTTTGGTACAATTCCTTGTATTAAACTTTACGTATCATTTTTATAAGTTGTTTAAACATCACTATTATATTTTGCTACAGTATTTAAACAATTTGAGTTAGTTTTTCTCTAAAATTGAAAAGAAAAAAATAATAATAGTCGTCCCAGCCAAAAATCCCGTTTTATCCCGCATCCCGTTTTAATCCCGCTCAAGGTCTAAAAATCCCGTTTTCGGGATAATAATCCCGCGAATGGAAACACTGCAACTAGACCGGCTCCGGTTCAACAGGTGAATTTCCAATCAGCTGTTGGCTAGTTCTCAAACTCACCACCAGAGCGATTAAGCCTCGACCGAGGAAATCATGATTTGAGCCGACCCCCGCGGCTGAATTTTTATTTCAGGATTAGTGTTGCCTACAATATTATTTTGAGGCTTCTGATTGGCTGAGGGAACATCATTACCGCGACGATACGGTTGATGCCAACGGCCTTGGTGGTGTAGTGGATATAGTGCTGGGCTGATGATCTGAAGGACCTGGGTTCGAATCCAGCTCGTAGCGTTATTTTTTTTGTATTGGATTTTTTCATCATCAACTAGTTTGGTTGGTTTGGTTAGGTTATGGCGGTTTAATTTTATAATTAAAACATTATGAAATTGAATTTGACCCATTTATAGTTTTATTTTATGAACAGAAATATTTTTTTCGGTTAAACCTTCATTTGATTTTTCATTATTAGCAAGTCTGGTTAGTTTGGTCAGGTTATAATAGTTTAATTTTAGAATAAAAAAATTATAAAATAGGATTTGAGGAATTTATAATTTTATTTTATGAACAGAACTATTTTTTCGATTAATAAACCTTCATTAGATTTTTTCATTGTCAGCACATTTGGTTGGTTAGGTTAGGTTATGACGGTTTAATTTCATAATAAAAAAATATAAAATTGAATTTGAGGCATTTGTAATTTTATTCTATGAACAAAAATAATTTTTCAATTACTAAACCTTCGTTATAGTCAATCAGAAGCCTCTAAATGACACTGTTGGCAAAATTAATCCTGAAAAACAAATTGTGCACCCCCGCGACCCGAGCCGGACAAGAATTATTCGCTGTTCAACCGTCGACTTGTTCACGAGGAGCTCTTGCGAAATTACGATCACGCCATACGATTCTACGTTATTGATTCAGGTTAGCTAACTTCGTTGTTAGACTTTCTAACGTTCATTTTATTTTCGTTTTATTTTAACATACGTATACTCGTCTGCCACTTATTTTCGCCCGTTTTAAGTTCGATTATATTTGTCTAAATTTTATTAACGATTGGAGTCTTGACCCGCCAGTTCCTGCCGGTCAGTGACTAGCGGTGGATATCTTTCGGCTCGTATTAAATTAATTGTCCACGAAATTACGCTTGTTTAATTCGCCTAACGAATTATTACTTAAATTATTTTAATCGATTCGACGTTTAATACCCCGAGACTTGTCATCTAAGTTCTAAACCCCGTCTTTGGCGGGTGAAAGAATCAAGTCTTGGGAGCAGCTGATTTGAACAATCAAACAGCTACGAATATTAATATTAAATCTATTTTAAATCATCCCACGATAAATTCTCCATTCGATCATATTAATTAGGCCTCGACGATTCTGTAGGGATTGGGTTTTACGTCATATTACTTTTAGCGAATTTCCCTATAGGGAAGTAGCTATTACCGTAGGTCTCATGGTAAGACTTAGGCCCGGGACCTATTTACTTTTTCATTTTGATGTCCCCAGAGGCCAAAAACACCATTCGTTAAAATTTTTATATATGTATATATATATATAGATTTATATATATATATATGTGTCCGTGAACACGATAACTTGAGTAATTTTTATCCGATTTTGATGAAATTTGGTTTGAAGGTGTAAGGCGGGATAAACTTGAATGAGTTCGCGATCCAGCATGATAGGACTATGGGAACAGGGTTTTATGGGGGGTTTTATGGGGTAAAAATTGGTTTTTTTCATTTTTGACCCTCAAAACACAAAATTTCCCAATTTTTCTCTAAACCTTCTTAAAGAGCTTAAAAAAACCAACAATTCAGTATATCAAAGTGTTTTTGTACGGTTATTGGTTACGGAGAAAACTAAAAAAATGGTAAATTTAAAAGTCCCATGTTATTCTTATGGAGAATATTGTAAAATGTTGTAGTTTGCTTGTTTATGGATATATTTTGATCAAACTTGGCAATTTTTTTTATTTTATAGTAAGCTATCAATATTTTACTAAAAACACACTTTATTAGTTTCCTTGTAGCAGCAAACCTAGGTACTCGTTAAACCTAATGTTATTTAAATAAATCAATTGAAAATCAATTCAGCCAAATGGAAATTCGCTTAGACGGCAGGTTTGCTGCGGCGGGGGTATTTCTATTTAATTTACCTAGGCCTTTAGTTCATTATTTTAAAGTTCATTACGAGTAATTGAATCACATTGGCTTACCCAAATTCTCCAAAACACGTTAGCGAAGGTAAGGATGATATATAGCTCCAACTGAGCGTCTGCAGGATTTCCTGAGCGCTTCTAGAGCTCTGAGCCTTCGATTAAATTTTAAATAAATTGATCAGTCAAAGCCGTGACAACTTCGTATCGACCCCTGGATTTTTCTCGGCTCCTTCTGAGCACTCCGGGGAAGAAATTTGAGTGTGGCTGGTTCTAGGGGTAGGCCTAGCTTGACTTGGTGAATACTAGTTTATTCCCCCCCTAGAATTTTGCGTCACACCTATTCCACCTTTATTCCCAGGTTATCTTCTAAGAGTAGCCGTTGAGGTTATTCCACTTCATACTAAATATTGATTAAACACTACAATAAATCTCAAATGTAAAATAAAGAAAGTGTAGGATAAAATCTAGAACATATGTTTTAAAATAAAAACAAAGCAGAAGTTTTTCATTTAATCTTGAATCGTTAATAATTATTTAGTCAATGTGGTTATTTCATGTTAGTACATTGCAGAATTGACTGGCAAATAAGTAATCCAAATGTTAATATTGCATACTGGCTTAATGATAAATCACGGATCAGCTGTATTGAAGTAAACAAAAATCTGCAGTAAATGGCTTCTAATGCTATTCTTATGGAGAACATTTTACGTTATATCTCGTTTTCTGGTAACTTAACGGGAATTCTGCTATTTTTCCCGAGTCCCTGGGGTCAAGACCTTTAATTTAAGACCCCTCCCACGTTTCTGCGACTTACCAGACGTCCACAATTTTCTGGTAAAAATTTGGTCTTACAGAATTATATATAAGGATTAAAATCTCCATAAAATATTGTTTTTCCTCCCATTGGAACTTGCCATAGTACTTACTTAATTAACAAATATATATTTCCTGTATGAACCTATTCCACCTTTATTCCCAGGTTATCTTCTAAGAGTAGCCGTTGAGGTTATTCCACTTCATACTAAATATTGATTAAACCCTACAATAAATCTCAAAT